GAGGGGCCCTGTGAAAGAAAAGGTTTCTAAAAAAAATTTAAAATTTAACAGCACTTCTACAAATTGAATTGAATGCTACTCGTTAAATAAATTTTAAAATTATTATGCTTCAAACTTTTCACTCCGCCTTTTTTCTGACCTCTTGAGGCGATATGCCTTCTGTGCTCGACTCTTTACACATTTTTTTGAATGGAAGTCTTCTAAATCGGCTTCTCTTAGACGGAGAAATATTATATGATGAAATATTAGATGATGACGCAGTGCCAACTTAACTTTGCTCCACCCCACCCCGACACATGCTTGCTCCGATTCTTCCTTTATTTGACACCTCGTATACTTCCGAATAACAGAGCTGTTTGAAGGTATTCTAACACAGCTTATAAAGGTCCTATTAAGAGCCAACGTTACTCGAAACAAATTCAATCGATGACGATTCAGGGTCGACTTCTTCTTAGAGCTCCTAGTCGTTATGAAATAGTAAGGCATTTTTCTCGCTTGCTTTTCTAGCCCTTACGGGATTATTTTATAATTATATTTTATATTTACTTTTGCGCCTATTAACTCCATTGTATAATATGGCACGAAGATTGAAAGCGAAGCCGAACTTCCTGTCGAAATGTAAACAAAGAAATCCAAGAAGCTTCATATAAATCTGTAATGGCCACGCTCACACTATTACATATTGCGCTTGAGTGGCAAGCAGCGTAATTTTGCTGATAAATTAGCAACTGCTTTGATTTGCTTTACTAAAAAAATCAACAAATTAACAGCCGATCGTCAAATATCGTGCGACACACAAAGAAGCTGATAGTGCCAGTGTGAAGGCTTCATAGCAAGCAGCGTTTTGTAACCAATTAGGCGTCTTTGGAAAAAATAAAAGATGCCCACAACTAGTGTAACTGCTTCGAGACCTTTTAAGAGTGAGCGCACATTTAAGGGATTATTTCCGTATTTTTACTTAAAAGTAAATAGTAGAAACACGAGGATAGTTTGATAAGTCAGAGACGTTTTTATTAAGCAAAAGAAAATATTTCGGCAAAAAGGGCGTTTTTTCGATATAGTCAGGATATATTTAGTCCAGTGTTTTTGGAATTGTGTTATCCCTGCCAAATAATAGGAGTTCTCAAGGTCCCAGGTAGACGATTGTTCAAGTGATGACTTCTTTATTAAACCAAAATAGGAAATATTTAGTCGCATTTGGGAGAGGGGTAGGGTAGTTTTTTTTTATAAATAAAATCAGTTTTTAAAAATATTTAATTTTTTTTTCATTTTTTTTTTTTCAAAATTATCACCTCGGATGATAGAAGAGTTTAAGCTTAAAAGGTCTGCATCAAAATTTTTAAAAATTTAATCAACGGAATCAAAATAATAATATTTTGGGAGTATTTTCAAATAGTTCTTCCAGCACACGTAAATCTTAATATATTCCGAAATATTTTGGCGAAAGTCTTAAAATATCATAAATTTTATAACTTTTTTCTGAGCTGCACCCTAATGTACCTTTTAAGTCGACAGGAAATGTTGAAGAGTTTTGTTCAATAACAAGTGTTTGGTCAAGTTTCTCCTCCAATTTGCGTATTGATGTTGTTACACAAATGGAGGGTCGCACAGTTTTACTCTGCCTCCCAAAGGAAAATGGATTTTATGCGAAGCTTTTTCATGGCAGAAATACATATACTCGTAGGCTGGCGATTGCCTGCCGAGGAGCGACTGTTTATAATTTAGATGTTGCTCGTATCAAGAATCGAACGCAGTCACAGCTGCCCCGCGTATCTCTTAAGCGGATTGGAATTATTGAAGAGTTTTGTTTAGCTGTGAACCACTGTGCATCATAGAAAGGTAAGCAATGCGATGTGCAAGCTTTCGTGTAATTTTACTGTGAGAATGCATTGCAAAAAAGCCACAATTTTACTATGTACTAGGTTTCCAATGACAATTGTTGGATATCTGAGTGGCTAATGGGATTACAAAAAACAAATTTTATCGTCATCGTAAAAAAAAACCAATCATCGATTTCTAAGTATGTACATATGCACATTTATATTCAGTTTAACAACCGGTGCCACATTTATGGTTTGATACTGATATTTACATAAACATTTGTAATCTACAAATACTCCTATGTAGAATTTTAAATGTACTTATGTATATCCGTAACGCACATAGCACACATGAGGAATGCGAATCGCAGTTTTTGATTTCCACATATTTTTGTGCTTAAATTTCATTTCAATGCCATTTGGGTGCCCATTACTTTTGTGTTGCTGCTTTCAAATCACTTTTTATGCGCTTATTTAACTGTGACTTCATACATACCTATTGTATGTACTAGGTACGAGTATGTATGTATCTATATGTATGTAAAAGCACTCACATATTTATCGGGCAGCGTTTTAGCACATCATTATATTGAGTAAACATAAATTGTTTTTAGTAAGTTCATCCGTTGTTTACTTATGAAGTTTATTCTATTGATAAGCCGTTATACGACTCTGGCATTCATTTTCAACCTGCGTCTTTATCAATAAACCATAGCTTCTTTGCAAAAAGTGGTCTAAGAAGTGTCGAGGTGCTAATTAAAAAAAAAAATAAATAAGTTAAATATTTTACATTAAGAAGGCTGAAGTTAAGTTGATATGTATAAATCTATATCTAAGTGGTATTTAAAATCTAGTATTTTGGCCTGGTGCAATTCTTAAATGAAGACTTATGCCGAATCGCCACTTGAAATTTCAAAAAAACAAAAAAAAATGTTGTGTGACTTTGCCTAACTTTCGTTTCTTTCGTGCTCTTCAAATCTCATACCTGCACATACATGCAAAGATCTGCGGAGCTGCGCGCCATTAGCTGGGCGTTATCTAAGGAGTGCGTCATTAGAATTTAGTGCATTGTAAAATACACATAGCTCAGTAATCACTGTTTCAACTTTCAAACATTTTTGAACTTTCTGTACTTTGTAGGTCTTCAAGCCCCATCTCTTATTTCACTCTTCGTATAAATAGATCGGAACAATTCGCTACCTAAGTAAGCTGTTTTTCTAACAGAAAGGTTAAGATTTTTCCTGAGCACGGCCCCAAGGCCTTATTACGGTGGCCACAACCTTTGTGTTCTTTGCATTCTATTTACGTTAACAACTGCCTCGATTTTTTATTACCCGGGAATAGTATTTCTGCCAACTTTAGTATCCCTTGCAATCATTTTTTCCAGGCACTTATAAAATTTGATGAGTAAACGTCTGTGGACGGCTTGAAAAAGCATTAAACGATACAGTTACATACATAAATAGGTTACGTAAGAAATTAAACATTAATTACATTTAATTTTATTAATTTTTTCGGGTCCAGTACACGACGTTTTCATAAGTACTTCCAGAGTGGTTAAGGACTATTTCAGAATGATTTTGAGACTAGTTTCGAATCTTCCCGAGCTAGTCCCAAAATTGCCCTGAAGTGGTTTTGAAAATACTCGTCCCGAAATTGTATCGAACAAATACTGAAACGAAATGGGCTCTAACTAGTCCCAAAGTAACCGAGAACTAATCGCGACATGTTCCCGAAATAGTGCTGTACCAGTCTCGAAATGGTCCAGAACTAGTACTAAAATGGGCCACAAATAGTCGTGAACTAGTCTCGAAATTATCCCGAACTAGTCCGGAAACGGTTCTAAGCTAAGACGAATGCGGAGACGAGTACGCAGACGAACATGAACCCGAAGACGAATATGAAGATCAATGCGGAGACGAATACGAAGACAAGACGATCCCGAAGAAGATGACGAATACGAAGACGAACCTGATACGAAAACAACGACGAATACTAAGAGGAACCCGAAGGCGAAGGACAATGCGTGGACGAATACGAACACAACAAGGAATGCGTAAATGCACCCAAAAACAAAGACGGAGATGAATACGAAGACGCAGACGAGTGATTCGAAACGGACCCAAGAGGTCATAGAACCAACCGACTGCTACTATCGATATTGACCGGTGTCTAAACCGTTCTTACCGGAATTTGTTAACGCTTAAAAATACTCTTCTATCGGTTTTTTCTCTTGCATGTTATTAGAAAGGAGCCTTCATAATGTTCGGCTAAGTATTTTACTTTCCTTTGCTTTATTTCCATTTGAGTTTTTAAGGGGTCCTATAAAAAATAGTTAATAATAGAAAATGGTTAAATAAACACTTCGGTATTGTCATTGGAAGTCTCCTGAAGAGAAGCGAAGTTTTCCGAACGAAAAATATTGATTTTCAATAATTCCACACAATTTCTACGAACACACAAAGCAGACATTTTTCCTACTTTTTTCCAATCTTTGAGAAATTCTTGATTCTCAAGTGGAGATCCAACATTTTTCGCAAGGTTTGACTAAAACTTGAATAAAGTTTCAATACAAATTGATATCCAAGCTTTTCTCAAGTGGAGAACTCCGATTATTTTCCATACAAAAAATTTGCGCTTTTGTTAGAGAAGGGGTTGGTTCTCCAATTGAGGTATACTTGAAAATCAACATTAAACCTTGGAATTTTTATTGGATCTCCACTTGATCTCCAACCCAAAAGTTTATGTGGTATATAAAATACAGGGAAAACTTTGAGCGACCTCTAAACATTTTTTGATTTCAAAAAAAAAAAAACAGGAGTATAATTTTCGATATCGAACACTACTAGGGGGGTGAGATCATTAAAATTCCGACTTTTCTTATTTTGGACCACCGTATTGCATATGGATCTGCATACATACATACAAAGACCGGCATTTTTGCACTTTTCTCTACACACTCATACAAACATTTTAAACAGCAATTTCACGCTAATTTAAAACGGAAATACTCGTCACAATGAAAAAGGCACAAACAATAAAACACCCGAAGCAAATTGTTAAAATTATATTTATTTTACTAAATTTAATACAAAATATGTACAAAAAAAAAAAATTAAAATAAATCTTAGTTTTGTAGTGTGCGCTTTATAAAAGTTGTAAACTGGAATTTCGCTCGACTCCAAGTGTAATGCCGCGTCGCATGAGTGTTGCAAAAATATTCAAAAATATGGCGCTTATTTCATACGAAATCGCTGAAAGAAATTTGAACTGCTCAGACAATCGCGTAGCGCACAATAAATGGACAATACGAAACCCACTATAGCTATGACAAACACGAGTGGCGTTCCCAGTAGAATCATAAAGAAAAGTTTCACATCACCACATTTCGCCAATGTCATCCACCAGAGCAGGCGACGTGCTGTATTCCGCAACAAAATACAACTACGCCAACAGCCATAGCTGAAATTGGTCAGCCGCAGCATGGAGAAGATTACCAACCGCAACAGCCACAACGTCCAGCAGCAGGCTCCATACAACATTTCGCGCATGCGCTGGTAATACGTATTGTTGTAGAGTCGAGAGGTGTACGCTGTGGCTAGCTTGCGTCTTGACGGCGGCACGACGCGATCGCAATAGTATATAACCAATCGTGCCAGTTGACTTCTATCGTTACGCTGCGGCGGCTGATAAGCTTCCAATTCACGCTTATACTCGGTATCCGAATCGGTTTCTACCAGTTCCAATCGGCGTTGTAATCTCTTGCTGCCGAACATGCTAAGATCACCTTCATAGTTGCCATTGTAACAGATGACGCCGTTCCTTGGTGAAACGCTAGAAAAATATAGTTTATACTTAGTGTATCTTTAAGTAGTTACTGCGACTGCGATATGTTGTTTACCTCCGGTGCGCTGAGTTGAGACAAACTCCATTGCCATTGGTTATGTGGGTGCTTTGTGCCGCCAACAGTGGAACATAATTTAAACCATCCTTGTAAGTGTGCATGATTTCCTGAGGCCTGTACAATTTCGCTGATGTCTTGGATTGAAAATTGCTACCGGCGTTGAGTGTTTTTTCTGAATAAAGAACTGTTTTGGTTTTTGTTTTTTGTTTTCAAGTTTTCTGATTATGGATATTTGTTTTGAAATATGGTTTTTTAATTGTTATTTCAAAGCCTTTTCATTTTTACACCCTTTTCGAATGTACAGAGTTACCATATTTAGCAATTAAAATTGATATTTAAAAGGAGTAGTGTTATTTCCTCTGCTGTCAAGCTAAGTTGTGTACGAACTCCTACAGATTCTCACTGCTGAGGGTGTCCGCTGTCAAGGGCACGCGAATGACATAGTGATTATCGCCAGAGAGAACACCCTCTGCCTGATCGTCCAAAGAGGACGTAACCTAGCGAAAATCTGGTGTGCGGATGTATGTTTGAATATTAATCGTTCATCCCCTTCTTAACAAGAAAATAGCTCTCGAGCGTATGAGGGTCTCGATCTTGGATGGTGTCGAGGTCGCCGTCGTCGCCACAGAATTGAAGTATGTGGTACTTACCCTGCACTCCGAACTTCTGTGGAGAACTCATGTTGAGTCGGCCACCCCCAAGGCAACAAGAGCGCTGCGGGTGTGTAAACCTCCAACGGGCAAATTCGGGAATGCACTCCTCAAGATTCTAAGATGGATGTGCACCACGATAGTACGACCAATAGTAACCTTTCGGTTATTCAAGGTCTGACGCGTGTTTGCATTACGGTTAGCCAGAATGTCTGCTGTCTCGAGCCTTTCTTTTCAGTAGGTCCAAACACGATTAAGGAGGCGCTCAGAAAGGAGAATACCAAGCTACGGGAACTTCACTAGCGTAAAACCACGGGTCATCGTCAAGCTTAAAATTTACTAGGAGGCTACAATTTGAAAACATACAGGCTATTAATGGGCCTCGCTAAGAAGAAGATAAGAATCACTACAGGCTTTTTGACGGGTAATTTTAGGCTAGGCGGTCAGTTGCATAATCTGGGAATCTGGTCAAAGGACGCTTCTGTGACGCTGGCGAGGAGACACCATTACCCCCTCCTTCTGAAGTGTTAGGGTGTTTCACGTTTAAGGGAGAGAAGCATGGGAATTTATGGCCAACAGAGGAGCCCGTGTACTCCCTACCCACGGGATCTATTCAGAAATTTATAAAGCCTCTAGGGCTAGCTGAGGTATTGTGATGAGTTGAGGGCACAATGGACTTACTGGTCGCAGTGCTTTGTCGATCTATCTATCTACCGTATGGAGTTTTTCCAAAAGATAGACATACATAGAGAGGTACATTTTGGATGGGTAAGGATTTAGCCAGCTACATTATCCAGTCCCAACTGTGCCAGAATGGTAATGGTTTGATTATGGTCACAGTCGTTTGGTGAGCGCCGTTTATGGCCTCTTTGTTCACTAAGTCTGGATATCGCCGGTTCTGATATGCCCAGTTGGCGGTTCGGCTTCAAGTAGGTGCTGGTTTGGGACCCCCCGGCGGCAGCAAAACGTTGTACTCCTTAGTGCGGGTCACGTTGGCCACGCTATCCAAGTGATATTCAGGGGACTTCAGAACGTATCCAGTGTCTGTGGGTTGGAACTTTGTTATGATCTTATGGTTATGATCTTTATAATGAAAATCCTACCATTACTTTATGAATTTATTTTTTCGATCAATTTTTGAAAGAAAGCACAAAAAATCTTATAAGATCAAAAGAATAAACCGATTCCTGTTTAGATATCTTTTGCTTTAAATACGCAAAAATGTTGTTATTAAAGAAAATATTTAAAGAAAGTGAGTTTGGGAAGTTTTTCTTTTCCCCTGTAAAATTTGAAAAAAATTTGGACTTGACAAAATTTCAACTCTAAGCCAGCGATAAATGTACAGTGGCGGTCAAAAATGGATGAATGGTGTTTCAATTGAAATATTTACAATGTTTTTCATGCTAAAAGTGGAAGTTCTGTATAAAGTTTGAAAGCGTGATTTATATAGTTTTTGTTTAAACATAAACTATATTTAAAAAAAAACTCTAAAAAATATTAGCTTGAAAAACATTGTAAATATTAAAACCGAAATACCATTCATCTATTATGGACCGCCACTGTATGTAACTATTGAACCTAATTATTCAACATTGAAGCCCTAATAAATAACCATATCAGCACGTTGTTTAGAAATCAATAATTCAATAAACTCACAGCAAAATCGAATATTTCACTAACCACTTAATCGATCGCCTTACATTCTTCCAGCAAATAGAAATAAAAGCAGCAAAAGCAAAATATTTTTAGCTCAGAAAATATGCATAATTAAGCGGGACTGACCCTGTTAATTTTGCATTCAATTTTCGCAAAATGTGTATATGCTATATGATACTTACTACTGTCTATAAAATTATTCCTATACGCATACAATGAAATATTAATCCAATTTTGTTTATTTTCTTTCTTCGTTACAGCTAAATGGTACACTCTGATATGGCAATTCTTCACTGATGCCAGTATACCATTGTCCATATGTAGCCCCATTGAATCATCAGCACTGGAACTATGCGTGGCATAATTTAATCACAACGAAAGCAATTGCGTTTTATTATTCGTTCCTTTATCACTTTACTGCTTATAGTTATCGTACATAATACATACATACATACATACCTACATACATATGTATTACATTTAAATGTACAAATAGCTTCTGTACACTAGCACTTCGTACTCTTCCATAAAACCATTTGCGTATCCGCTTAACACAAGGCAAAATGCCATCAATAGCAACAAAGGCAACAGCAAAATATTGCAAACTTTTATCTCTGCTCATAATTTTGTGCGGCATAAACGTTGCCTGCTCGAAAGATTTACTCGTCAATTTAGCCGAGGGATTGGATGGGCCAAATGTTTGTAAGAAACGCGAAAAGTGAGTATTTACTTAACTAAATGTACTCTATGTACTTCATAATTAATGAAAACTAACTATTTGTTATTTTCCTTTTGCAGTTATCCTGTTGAGGTCACCACCACCGAACTGCAATCATATCAGGAACGCCAAACAGTTTGGTGTCTCAATGTGCCACCACGTTGCTCGACATATCAAATAAAACATCGCACTATTAATAAGACGCGTACGCTTATGAAAACGCGTATTGTACGCGCATGTTGTGGTGAGTATAGAAAATGAAATTGTTACCATTATGCGTCCATATGTATGTACTGATTAAGTTACGTGATATTTTGATCAGTTTTGGCTATTTTTCTTTTGTTTATTTAATGTTTGTAATTTTTTTTTTTATAAAAACTTATATGGGTGGGCGAAAATGTACAACACCGTCAGCCAAAACAATTATTAAAAATCAACGCGTTCTCCTGGCGTCTTGAAATTTGCACTTTACCCTACTAAAATTTAATATGCAATAAAACTGCATAGCTAAAATGTTTCTACAAACTCTGAATAAAAGTTTAAAGTTTTTGGGTGTAATTGTTAAAGTTTGTTGAATTTTTATAATTTTTGTACAAAATTTGAAATGTGGATTTATGCGGTGCTGCTTATTTAATGTTCTAGACTTTTATAAAACAATTATACATACATTAAATAGACAAAACAAAAATAGTCAAAATGTCACTTAACTTAATCAGCTGATCACAAGGGTATCTTGGTGCAATGCACATAGTACATACATATGTACATACATTTAGCAATTAATTGTTGGTTTGCTATAGAAACATTTATCTTAATCAAACAGCCTCTGTGGAAGCAAAATCACTTAATCTTATCACGGTTGAAATCGCTTACTGCAGCCGTGTAAGCCAAAGAAGCTATCGCTCTGAAAGATACGAATTTTGATAAATTTCTTGAAAAGTGAAATTATCCAACAGGATTTTTATGATATTTTAAAGAGTTTATTAGTTATACTTACATATCGCTAGTTAAGAGTGAAATCACATATTTTGATTTAGGAAGCAACAGAAACTAAAATGCGCAGTGTTTCGACTATACGGTGGCAGGTGGAAAGAATAGTTAACGTGCACCGATTTCGCTGAAACTTGACATCTGCTTTAATTTTTCTTAGGAATAGGAAATTGTAAAGGTGGGCCTATTGCTTTTAACACTCAAATGTTGTAGAAATCTTTTAACGCAATCCAGTTTTGCACAAAAGTCGGTGAATAACTCACTGAAAACCTATAAAGTATAATTATTTAAAAAAGTGCTACAGCATTAAATTCGTCACTGTTATGAATAAAAAACAGCTTTTTATAATTTCCTCTATTGTATAAAAGTGGCAAATCGCAGAACCCGAAAAACATGCCCTTAACGCTCAGCTTAATGGCTAAAGATTGTGGAACAGCATATTCGAAATAGTCGCCATTTGCCTTCCAGCAGCGGCGAATTCGGCTTAGCATACACCACCGCTTTCAGTACGCGCCCCATGCAATGGGAAAGTTCGCTCTGCTCGGATAAGAGCGCGCTTCAAAGACTAAACACTTGGTGGTCGAGTAGTGCAAGTAATGCAAGTAATACATCAGAATTTATAGTCCAATCGATTAAGGTCTGGGCAACAGATGGTCAATAATCCGTGAAAATGAAGTTAGTAACAAGATTTTATGTCAATTGACCCGATGAGCTTGAGCGGAGTTTTTTTGAAACCATCAGAGGAGCTGCGTGGTGGCCACGTTCAACCTGCGGAACAAGTTTGGACACATGTCGTTATGACAAAGCATACACCCTATCGTTCTGTTTATTATACGATTCTTCTACAGTGAAAATATCCTTGTCCGTAAATGGAATTCTCTGTGACTGCTTTTCACGTACTGGCCATTTTTACTAAAATTTTTGTTTCAACGATTCTGTAAGTTGGTGCTGAGTCCCAAGTCACGTTTTATGTTGTAGGACATGCTGTCCTTACTGACATTCATTTCCCGGTATATGATTTTCCGCTTGAGAAGCACAAAGAAATTGGAACTAGACTTAAAAATAAAAACATTAATAAACTTAAAACATATTCTAAAATTGTGTATACTTTAAATAATAATTTCTCTTATTCCAGATGGTTACACGGAAAATCTGATTGGCGACGGTTGTATACCCGAATGCAGTAAAAAATGCGAACATGGCAAATGTATTGCGCCGGAGAAGTGCAAATGCGAACAAGGCTGGGGTGGCGATACGTGCGATATAAGTTGGTTGAGTTTTTCATATATATTTATTTTTATTTCTATACATATTTATAATTATATTTTGTGCAAATGTGTCTATAGTTGCTTTTTGTACCTTGTTTGTTTTTGTTATTATTTCCGTTTGTTGGACGTTCACTGTTCGTTTTTCATTTATCAAAATTTTAACTAAATTACATACACTGCGTAACTTGTTGTAGCTTTTAATATCGTACTTTGTTTGAAAGCGATTCGGCATTGTAATTAGCCATTTGCAGCAGTATTTGAGCTCAAAATTTCACACTTTTTTACGTTAATGACACTATTTTATTGAGACAGTAAAAGGATTGTTTTACTGCACATTTTTTATTCAGAAAAGCTTTTGTTTTTATGTAAAAAATACGATGTTGGTTACGTAGTGTAAGTAATTAAGCGTATTTATTACACTCTAATGCCTTATAAAAACGATGGAGGTGCAAAGGTGGAACCTACATACTATATTAAGGCATATCGTAAAATAATAATTTTTGCTTTATCACGCTTTTATACATTCATATTTTCTTATCGCTTTCGTTTTTGTGTTAAGTAATTTGCTTTTTTGCTTCATGTAAACAATGTCACTTCTTTATATGCGCCAAAACAGCAAACATTTCACACACTTTACATTCACGCTAAACACTCATATTTTTATTGAATCCTACAAGTGTCGTAAATCTGCTAGTCCCCTAATCTCAACCCCCGCACCCAAACACTTTGCTCAAAGTTCGTGTATCTAACAACTTAACTGTGATTCAGTCCAAGCAAAGTGGCTTTCGCAAGCAAATAACAAACAAAAGCAACAATAATTCAGGCACAATTTTGATACTTACTACGAGCATCTGTTCATTTAACTAAATAATCACCAAACTAAATTCCTATATAGATTGCCCAGCTGGTTACTGGGGACGCGATTGCAGCAAGCCTTGCGACTGCTTAAACAATGCCACATGCGATCCCGCCACCGGTGAATGCGAATGCGCCAAAGGATATACGGGTGAGAAATGTGGCGATACATGTCCGCCAGATCGTTACGGCGCCAAGTGTATGGAGGAGTGTCGCTGTGAGAATGGCGGCAGCTGCCATCACATTTCAGGCGAATGCAATTGTGCGCCTGGCTTTACGGGTCCACTGTAAGTTGTTTGCTATTGAAAGGTTTAGGGTTAATAATTCATAAAAAAAACATAGCTAATGTTAATGCCATTCGGTTGGGTATGTAGCCAATCTAATACTCAGCCAAAAATTGTTATCAGTTAAATTATTTACATTTTATTTTATTTTGTTTCCCTATCATTTGTTCATACGCGAAGTTGTGAAGACCTCTGCCCTGATGGCAAACATGGCGTGCAATGCAAACAAGATTGTCGCTGTCAGAATGGCGGCAAATGTGATCCGAAGAGTGGGGCTTGCCTGTGCCCGGCGGGTTGGACGGGTGATGTTTGCGCCAATAAGTGTCCAGGTGGCTTCTTTGGCGAACACTGCAAAGAGCAATGTGAGTGCTTCAAAGGTGGGCCATGTCATCACATAAGCGGAAAGTGTGAATGCCCACCTGGCTATCTCGGTGAACTGTGCTACGAGGAATGCCCATTCAACACCTACGGCCTAAACTGCACGGAGAAATGCAAGTGTCAGAATGATGCGCTCTGCGATAAGGCGACAGGCGCCTGCCAATGTGCGCCTGGATGGCGCGGCGATGACTGCAGCGAGCGCGTTTGCGCTTACGATAAATACGGCGAAGATTGCAATAAGACGTGCGACTGTGATGCGCTCAATACGCGCGCCTGTCATCCGGAGACGGGCAAATGCTACTGTGAGAATGGTTGGAGTGGCGCGCAATGCAATCGACCTTGCCCATTCCTAAAGTATGGTCCTAATTGTGAATTGAATTGCGAATGTGCAAATTATGCGCGCTGCTCACCGATTAATGGCACTTGCATATGCGCGCCGGGTTTCCAGGGCGAAAAGTGCGAGGAGCGTTGTCCGGAGGGTCGTTATGGGCAGGATTGCGCACAGAAATGTGAGTGTGAAAATGGTGCAGCGTGTTCACCTGAGACGGGACAGTGTAGCTGTACTGCCGGTTGGCGTAATATCAAATGTGATCGTCCTTGCGACTTGTACTACTACGGCGAAAATTGTAAATTCAAATGTGATTGTAAAAATAATGCGGGTTGTAATCCACAAAATGGCACTTGCACTTGTGCGCCCGGCTGGATGGGCGAAAAATGCGATCAGAAATGTGAGCCGTTTACATTTGGCCTTGGATGTGAGTTGCAATGCGAATGTGATGCCAATAATACGATCGCCTGTGATTCGGCCACGGGCAAGTGTGTCTGCAAGCAGGGCTGGGGAGGTAGGTTGTGTTGGTTGTTGGTTGAGCGCGGTGAAGCAGCTGTCTTACATATTGACTAACACATACTCACACCCGATAACACTCCTTCATACTACTTGCATGCGCATCAAATTTTGAAACTTAAACACATACCTGCAATTAGGTCAAGACATTTCATTGAAAATAATGCACTTTTTTGAATGCAAAAAAAAAAACAAAACGAAAAGAACGTTATGAACGTCATATCTGGTATATTTCATAACGACATTTAGACATTGAAATTTAATGCCCAACTTCCATTAGGCAATGTGGCAAAAGTTACATTAAATTTAAAAGATATTATGTGGAAACAGTCTTCATGACTCAATACGCAGTGTAAATCCGGCATTATCAGCGATGTGTATAGTGGGAATAATTGTCCTAAGATATGAAATTTAAATAGTCAAGTATTTGGAAAGATTTTATGGCAGTCGGTCATTGCAACAAATACAAATACAACACAATTGTTTAAAATTCCCCAGGCATACGTAAAAATTTATCGGTTTGATTGATTTTTTAGACAGTAAAACGTAAAGTAGGTATAGCATTTGATAAAGTTAAAAAATATTTGTGTCAAAAATTAATTTCAATTACTTTTTACATTTTTTTTAAATATTTTTCTTTTTAAAATTCATTTTTTTCTTTTTTAAATTTAAGTCTTTTTAACTTTTAGATCTTATTGTTTTAATTATATCATTTAATTGTTTGCAACTTATTTTTATTTTTCATTTATTATTTTTTAATTTACTTTAATTGTTAGAAACTTATTTTATGTTTTTCTTTCTTTTTTAAATTTAATTAATTTTTTTCTTTTCTAATTAAATGTTATTTTAAAATTTTTGTAGTACATTTTTTCTCTTTTATTTATTTTTCCTTTAATTTTTAGATTTTATTGTTTTAAGACGGAAAATGGAAAATATTTTTTAATTTCATTTAATATCTGTGTTCATAAGCAATAACCGCCTAAGTCCAAAACCCTGGATTCGAGAAAAAACGTTTAAAACATTTGGATTGTAATGTTAGCCTTATGGGGAAACCAAAATATTTTCGTCTATAACTTTTTAAGTAGTCTAGTTGGCGAGATGGGGATTTCACCTACCCATGGAATAGGGGTTGAAGAATACGATAGCACTTTTCCTTTTTGGTTGTTGTTGTTTCCGACCAAATTTGACAAGGGATGACGGAAATTCGTTCCATAATACATAATACGATAGCATATATAACACCATTCTTTCTTAAGTCGACTTAGACGGTTATTGCTTGTGACCACGGATATTTAGGGACTTCTTTTATTTTTTCCTTTTAATTTATTTGTTCTTTTTCGAATTAAAATATCTTAAATATTTAAGACTTTACTGCTCTAAATAGAGTATTTTTTAAGTTCATATAATTCTCAGGAACTTAAATTTTTTTCCTTTATTAAAATTAATTTTTTTTTATTTTGTTACTTAATTTCCTTTTAATTTCTAGACGTTCTTTATTTAAAAAGAACATTTTTTATTTACATATATTTTTTAGTAATATTCATTTATTTTGTATTTTTTTATTTTAACTTTTCTTAATTTAATTTAATTTAACTTCTAGTTCTTATTGTTTAACAAAAAAGTATACAGTAGCGGAAAAATAGAAAAGGACTCGACATTTTAAAAAACGTTTCCTTGACGAACGTCGGGTCTACGCTATTCGAGAACTGTCACCATTTCCACATTGGCAGCATTTCCACAAAATTGTTTGCTGAATATATTTTTCTGTTACAACAACAACGGTACTTGGCAACGAAGTTTCGCTGTCACCACAAATCTGACACTGAATGTGGTCTTAGTCTTCCTGAGGACATCAACCAGCCGAGCAGAGGCACCTTCATCGTCAAAGATCCAGATTTTGCAAGTGAACGAGGTAGTCGGCATCAAAAGAAGCTAGTCTCATCCGAAGCATTTCAAACTTTGTTATTGGAAGGGATTTTTACCTGGTCTTACATATGTACATATCTCTTACCGTAAAATTCTTACGTCGCCGAAAGAATCCTGACTTTTGAAAACTATTTCTCCACTTTTAAGTTTCATTGTAAGGTAGTATTTTTGTTGTTTGTTTTCAAACACTACGGCCAAGGAACTTCATGTTTATTCGTTCATTGTGATTCAACGTAATTTTTGATCTGATGGCCCGTATGATACGCAGTTTTGAAGCAAGCGGCATCCCTTCTCCCAGTAATAAAATAAGCTTTGCCCCAATACATGATTTAAGATAGGCTCATAGAGGACTAAAAATTTCATCGATACACAATATTCTGTTCACACCACATCTCCCTACTCCTTTACATATCTGCATTCAAATACTGAATTCATACAGTCATCTAAAACTTATTTTATTCTTGTTTAATTAATATTCTATTTCATTCTTCTTTATTGTTTGATTGTTCGTTTCTGTTGCGTTTGATTGCGTTGTTTACGTTTAACGTGGTTTACGTTGCAATTGTGTACACACACAAAAAAAAAAAAATAAAAAATAAACACCCAAAAAAAGGTGTACATTGCGAAACCAATTGCCCAACGGGTTATTATGGCGAAAATTGTGATCAAGTTTGCAGATGCTTGAATAACTCTTCGTGCGATCCGGACACTGGACGTTGTATTTGTGCTGCTGGTTGGACTGGTATTGACTGTTCAGAGCCATGTGCGCATGGGTTCTTCGGTGTGGGCTGCAGAGAACGCTGTCCCGAGTCAGCGCAAAGTAAGAAAAGCGAAATTAATTTACTTTTATTGAAACACTTTACCAATACATGTTAATTTCACACTTTTAGATAATACCAGCTGTGACCACATAACCGGTGAAATTGTGTGCCGCGCGGGCTACATTGGTTTGACTTGTAAACACCCCTGTCCGAGCGGTTACTACGGGCCAGGTTGCAAGAATCAGTGCCATTGTGAAAATGGTGGCGAGTGCAATCATGTCTCTGGCCAATGCTTGTGTTTGCCCGGTTGGACTGGTGCCAATTGCAACATTTCTTGTCCGGATGAATACTATGGACCGAATTGCGCGCAACATTGTCGCTGTCAAAATGGCGGCACTTGTCGCAAAAATGACGGATTCTGTGTGTGTCCAGCTGGCTGGATGGGCACGCGTTGTGAAGAAGGTATGTACAGCTTACTTTGTTAGGCTAGTGAATATTTACTTTTAACACTTTTCTAATTTTCCTTCAACACAGTGTGTCCTGAGGGCTTCTATGGCAAACACTGCATCACCCAATGCGAGTGTCCATCACAGAACTTCGTCTGTCACATTGCTGTCGGTTGTGTTTGTCGCAAGGGATATACGGGCGATAATTGCGATATGCTGTTGGCTGAAGAGCGCATACAACAAGCGCATGCGGGATGTAAGCACCAGCGCTAAATTATTTAGTTCCTTTTTTAATGCTAACCATTTTCATTTGTTTTTTTTTTTTTGCATTTTTGCAGCCAATCAGTCAGCTATTGTTTGGGGCTGCTTTATTTTCCTAATTCTACTCGGCGTTATATTGGCAGTCGTTTTTCATTATCGTCGACGCGTTTCTAATTTGAAAACCGAAATACAACATGTACAATATATTAGCGACCCCAGTCAAAGTTGGGCAGATCGAAATTTCGACAATCCCGTTTATGGTTATCCAGAAACTCAACAACACCAACAACAGCGTTTACTCAACAATATGAGACCGAAGATAAACGATTTGGATCGTAGTGGCATGTATACAGATAACTCGAATGCGAGCACTGGATGTGAGTTAAAATCTGTTGAAAGACGCTTCAAAATTGTATAATTATTATTTCTCTATTTTGCAGCTGCTTCGTATTCTGTAAACTTTACACATGATATGTTTGCTAAGAATTTAAATGCGGATCTCACCAATCCAAACGTTTACGACCCATATGAAGATCCTTTGAAGGAGGAGCATGTCTACGATGAAATCAAGCAGAAAGAAGGTTATAATCCCGGTAAGCTTATAATATTTATTATGTTATCCGATTTTACTTGATTGCTTTTGTAATTTCATCAATCTTAATATGCATAAACGCAAACGCCAATTTTACGTCAACCATTTGTAGTCAAAGTGTATAGCAAGAAACTATTTCCTGAGGGTAAGAAAGCAAATTCAAGCAAACGAATCATATGTGGTCTGGTGTGCGTATAACTATCGTCAGTTAATTTAATTGTTTTGTAAATTTTCTTAAACATTTCTATTTGTAGTAGTTTTTATGTACCCACTTACTAGTTGACACTTGCTTAGCATGAGGAGTTACACTTGCCGAGTAACTCACTTTTTTTAGTATACTTTTGTTTATATAGTAAAACCTTAAATGCTATTGAATACACATCAGCTTCGTAGTCCATTCGATTCGCGACGAAAGTGATATCGCTGAGCACGATCGTAATGCTTTAAATTCGCGAAATCTTAGAGACATACGCTTAAAACATTCACTGTTGTAACTTGCGAGAGCGCAGTTGGGGATGGAGACCCAAGAATTTAATTCAGCGATCAGGAATTGCAAATTTCGAAAAGCTGTAATGAAATTCAATTGATTTCAGCAGTGAGACGTAGAAATTTCGTGGAACTGTATTACTTTGTATGCACACTAAGGGCCATTTTCTCTGGCAGGTTTTAACATTTATCTGCCCCTAAAACACAAATTTTGTTTTGAAAATGTATTTCAAGGGCAGATAAATTTTAAAATTTACTAGAAGAGTTTTTAAAATTTTTAGTGCATAAGGTCGAAAGGTATTGAAAACATCCTTTAATATCCTTCAAAATTTGCAGTGTATGTATTTTTGAAAAATATTTGTTAAGGACTAATATACACATGACCACTTCCTCGATTTTCGTCCTTTAAACTGTATTAGCCTAAAAAAATTAAGTTAATTAAAAGGGCATTTTCAATACCTATTTGTCCTTGTGAACCAACAATTTTTTTTTTAATTCTTACAATTTTATCTTTTATTTGGTACCCATACTGTTGTTCTACATATCACTGAATTTTCAATTTTTTTTTTTCTTTAAAAAAAATCCTGACGACACACAGTGGGACGTCCCCATAAAAGCTGCGACCAAAAGTAGTTACAATACTAGTAGTTACAATACAAGAAGAAGAATACTATTCGGTACTTAGGAATGAAGAAATGTGAAAATGGTAAAATTCAACGCGCTACCACACCCACAGCTCTGGTGGGCGGAAATAGTAAATGTTATCCGATTTTGATGAAATTCAGAGCATATGCTGGTTTTATCGAGAAAAGCATAAATCTGAAGGAACGTATAATCGGCTTACATTATCGCCCACTAATTTTAGAAAAATAGGCGCAAAGTAAAAAAATCGTTTTTGATGAAATTCGGTGTGCCTGCTCGTTTAAGCCAAAATTTTCCAACATGGAAGATAATGAGTAGTTTCTTATTATGAGGAGAAAATTAACAGATACATTTACTTTGTTTCTAAAAAAGTTCCTATTTCTTTCTTTTAAAAATGACAAAACGAAAACATTTCCAAAAAATGGGCCCACATTCAGCTAGTACCTATGCGTATTAAATTTAGAAGCTTCTTTCCCAATGTTTGTTCCAATTTCAATACTTTCTTACTTATATGTACGCCTGATTCTCTTTTTACACGGTGGGAGAAAAGAAAACTGTACGAAAAGCGTACAAAATAGTTACAAATAAAACCATAATACAAAATAAAATCGTGCAAAGGAACATCTAAGTTCAATTAAAACAAATCGCGTAAAAAGAGAAATCGGTGTTTTAGTAGCAAAAAAGTTAAAATTTTCATATTCTTCACCACAGCATACCGCTTAAGGCATTATATAGCACAGTTGATTTGTGTACTTTGCATTCAATACTAAATGCACTGTTATATTTCACCTTCTCAAATGTCTTAGTTTCGTTTATTTGTTTACTTGTGTTCATTATTTATATTGTTTATAGCAACATTTAATACCATTTACATACATTTCACAGATGAATACGATCACTTGGACTACTCGCGGCCGAGTACATCGCAGAAACCGCATTATCATCGCATGAACGACACCGTGCTTAATATAAATCGTGATGAGGAGAAGCCGAGTAATTTGAAAGCAATGAGTCATCTACTAGAAAAACCAACAGCTAACGGCACAGCGGCTGCCGCCTTCGATGAAGCGGCGGAAGATGAAGATGGAACTGCCTCTACATCAATGGCAGCGCTAGCTAAGCACTATATGACAAATACGGCGGAGGATGCGACAAGCGATAGCATTTGTGATAACGCATCAACCGCCTCGCCAAGCTCCAGTCCAGGTCATGCTATATAGAAAAAAAACAACAGTAGATACATTTAATTTGTTTGTGTAAATGCGTCTAGTTATTGTTTATGTATGTATAATTTAAAGTAATTTATATAGCTTGTGTGCTGATGACATGGAAATCATCTGAAAAAATTAGTGACAATTGTTAGATGCCACGCTGAAAATGTATACATATGAAAGTGGATCGTATTTGAACGCGCCCACACACATACATATTTATATGAACGAAAAGCAGCGCTGCACATTCTATGTAGAAGTGTGTGAAAGTTTGCAGCGTAGCTTCCTTTTTAAAATATATTTTTTAACATTTTTTTATTTGTTTAATATTTATTCAATTGTATATTGTCTATTTTCGAACTGCATACACCAATATTAAGTCGATATATATTTGTATATTTGTATGCTCGAATAATGTTTGTATATTTTTTTTTTATGATTTCGTTAACTAATAAAAATAACACTGGCCGCTGGCCTTAAATTCCGGTATAATTGAGAAGCAAACGATGCCAATATTCGTAATTAAATTTGTTGCAATATGCTCAATTAAAAAAAAAAAAATTAAATTTTATACATTTTAATTTAAGCCAATTTTAGATTTATGTACATAATTTGCAGATTTTTTGTAAGCATGAACATTACTGGGTATGTTGCGTGGTTGATATTTTAATTAGTAGTGATATTATTTATAGCATGCATAAAAACATATAATGCACATTAAGTACTCGTATGTATGTATTTCATATAAAAAGAGAAACAAAGAAAAGCGAAACAGATATATATATAAATTAATGAAATTCCCCTGCTGTCTAAATAAATAGGCTAATCCTGTTTCTGGAAAAACAGAAAATTTAAATTTTTTGTAAAAAAAAAGTTTTATTGTTTTTCAAAATATTCGCCCATAAGATCTATACATTCGAGGAAACCAGTTATCGAAACATTTATGCCACTCTGAAGTGGATACCTCAACAATATAGTTTCTTGAATGCTTAAACGGCATCTTCAGATTTTGAAAAACGCTCACCACGCATTTGTGTTTAATAAACGGGAAGAGGAAGAAGTCATTACTCATTATTTAGACTTTTTTCTCTCCTTGTCTCGGTGAAGTTTGGAGACAAATCGGTTTCGGCGTGGTTCCAAAATACATCATATCGCTAGTTTTAAAGTAAAAAGTGGCTAAGTTCAGTTTTTCAAAATTTACAGGAGGGAATAAAAACCTTTCAAGCTCATTTTAAGTTGTAATTTAAATTTCGCATATTCTAAGCTAAAACAACTTAAAACGATTAAAATTCTACAACGCAAATGACAAATTTTTATATTCCTTGGCACTTATCAATTTTTGTGTGACTTTTTTGGACTTAGAACATTCGCGTATAGCTGAATAGAAATGGTTAGATGGTTTGTTCTTTTCTGTAACTGTGCATTTTTAATTGTGTATACTTCTTGCATCCAAATATATGTTTTCGTTTTAGAAAAATTGGACTTAGCAACTTTTCACTTAGGAAAATTGTGATGCATTTTTCACTCCTTGTATGCTGGGCAGGTGTTTCCCAGTTAATCAATGCAGCTTCATGTCCCTTCTCCAGTCGTATGGGTGCCGTCTTACATACATGTTGCGGTGGGAAACAGAACTTGTTGGTATAGTTCCCGGGAGTATCTGACTTCGCCTCGTGAAAGTCGCTCGAGAGGGCAGTCTGCAGTCGTATGTAGACCAGCACTCTGGCATATTTGCGGGTTTCTGACCACACTGGTACTGCGTAGTTCACCAATCACCTACCGGACGATTGGTTGTAGGTGGTTGGTAGTAGGATTTCCGAAAGCTAGCGACTTGTGAACTATGTTGCTTTCCCGAATTCGCATTAGTGTGTGCTCAAAAAGGGAAAAATCTGCCGAACATGAAAATGTACTAAAATATTAGGCTAGTTTATGCTGATATTTTGGCGCCTTCGACATACACGTAAAGTTCGAGCCTGAGCTGCTAGTTCAACGTGATTAAGCAACAAATTTAAGATTCGTGGCAGAAAAGATATTGCCATTTTGAAGCCCAACTAAAAAAAACACGTAATACTTTTTCAACGAAAAGAGTTCTGTGCAGAAGTACAATGCAGCACGCAGCCGAAGTTTAATAAGCATTTAATACATTTTTTTCATGAGGCTCGTTATTCAAAAAAATCAAAGTTAAAAAACTCTGAATGCGCATTGAGGACGCAGCAGGTCTCCGTTTTAAAGCGAAATATCTTTTGACTGAGTAAACAAATTCCACTATTTTTTTTTAACTGTTCTATGGACTTCCTTCCAACCGCGCTGTTGTACGAATGTAGTTTTTGCTCAACATGACTCATCAATAAATCTTTTCGCTAATGCATTTTTTCTTGGTTCAATTAAAATTTTCCAGTTGTCTGTTGAAAAAGTATTTATACTACAATACGATCTACATAAATTTGCGTTAAAAAAAAGGTTAATTAATTTTGCTCAATTTTGCTCAATTTTTTCATTGCTACGAAAAGCAATGATTAAATAAATACTTATGCCGGATTTCCACTAGGCATTGAATTGTCAAAAAAATATTGCCATTTAAAAAATGCCTTGCAGAAACGAACTTAATTAATATTTTGGTTAATCTATTAAATTAGTTGCAAATATTTTTATTGAACAAACTTTTGTCATTTAAGTGTTTGCCATTTAGCATACAGTGGAAGTCCGGCATTATACTATTATAGTATATATAAAAAAATATGTATACACGTAATCATACAAAATGTCAGTCAAAAAACAAGTACCTCTTCCCATTATGTAATCGATTTATAAACAATTATTAAGTGTTATGATTCCATTAAGCGGAAATGTGAGTATATACATATGTATGTACAAGTTTGTCATGCGTAATATGAAACTTTTAATAACTATACATGCATATTTATATATTTAACATACTATATACATACATACATAAATGAATGAGTGAGATCATGCAATAATTAAAATTAGATATCCCAAAATATTTAAAAGATTTTAGAAAAACAAAACATTAAAAAGTGTTAATTGTTCGTTGTAAAATTAAGAACACAATCTTAAATGCTAAACATTCTTTTACAAAAATTTGGCTTAAATCATGTACCAAAATCAAATAATTTTTTTTAGATTAAAATATTTTAACATTTTAGCTGTCATTTATTACCATAAAATTTAATGATATTTACTAAAATAAAAAAATTAATAAATTCGCCAAATTTTAAGAAATTTATTTTATATTTAGTATATTTTGTTATAACGAATATACATACTTGTATACATTTAAAGGCATTTTAACTAAGTTATATGAGTGAATACCTAAAATTTTAAATGAAATGATACCTTTTAGCAATACGAAAATGCGAAGCATATTAAGTGGAATAGGATTTGTGACAAAAAAACCAATCTATAAACTTACAGGAAGTGCAAACTTCTTACTCTTAAAGAAGAGTTTGAGTGCATAGCTGTGGCGTCAGGCATAAAAATGATAGCTTAACAAGTGGTGTTTTAAGAATAAAAATAAAAATTTGTTTTGAAATTTCAAAAAAAAGTTAAAAGTTAATTATTGTAATTTGAAAAAAAAAAACATAATAATTAAAGGAATAACGAGTCAAATTCACAAATGCAAAAATGGATCCAATTATTAATTCAAATTAATTAATTCTTTGGCGTGCTAGTATCATTTGGCCGTCAAAGGAATAAAAATAACAGGTTTTTAAAAGTAGCGAAATTATTATTTTTATGCCAGACACCGCAGACAAGTACATACATACATATATTGTAGCCCTATTGCAGCATTTTCAATGTTTATATACAATCAGTTAAGAGTATAGATATTACGATAGTACATACATACTTACATGCATACATGTGTTGTAGTTCAATAAATACATATTTTTAAACAATGCCATATTTGTATTATTTACATATATCAGTGATGGACAAGTCCGTGGCAGGAATCATCCAAAGAGGTAATCGTCCTTATGCTGAATATCGTCCTCGTCATCGTCGATCGTATCAGTAAAATGGCTGAAGATGGCCGTATCGTCACTTTTACTAACGATGACGATATTCAACATAGGGCCGAATATGTATGTAATTAGGGATGGGCACCTCCGATCAGACTGCGCCAAAGAAATTGAAACGTATGTTGAAGAAATATATGTACATTTATATACATACATGTAGATCCTGTTTTTTTGGACATCTAAAATAATTTACAAAATTCTATAAAAATGTATTATATTTGAAATTTGAATACTTTTATTTCAATTCGTACCGATCCAAAAATCGATTATTCTATGTATGTTCGATCTGGCACCTCTAGACTTTATCCCCTTATCCATTGATATCTACTACATATTTAATAATAATTCGCAAGGTTTTTTTTTTTTAATTTAAATTTGTGTGATGATGGAATAATAATTTATTTAATTTTTTTGTAAACAGCTTTCATTGCAATTTTCGTTATGAAGTTCATACACATATGTACATACAAACAACGTTTTTATACTTAAAGTACATATAACACTTTTATTAGCATACATAAATACATAGTCAATAAAATTAGATACATACATACATATGTATGTAGGTATGTATATCTATTCTCCCTCTTCGTCTTGAGCCAAATACTGTGTACGTCTTCTAATAATTGATAATATTTATTAATAAGTTCTAAGCTGCTACAGACTAAGCGACTGGAATGAGTGTGGTGCAACTTACAACTAGAAAAATCTTTTCACTTTCAAATGATTAGTATGCAAAATGTATGGGTGTGCGTGCGCATGCGCCTACAAGTACCCATGGCCTGCCACCTCGGCGGGTATGTAACCTTCACGGCCGTCGCGGGTGCGCACATAGAACCATTGTCGATGATCTTTGGATTCTCGACACTCGCAGAGCGTCACAATTTCACCCTTGTGCAGCACAATGCTGTCGGTGGCGTAATCGGTGTTGATGGCGACAAGCGTTTGACGTAAGCCATGCTGCTTTCGACTGGCCATGTGCAACACACTGCCGTGTTGCTGCTGATTCGCATTAGCGTTATGTAAGCTCCCATTGGCCGGAGCTTTCGACGCAAAGCTGGCGCTATGCGATACCGACGCAACGCTCGCGGCATTTGAGACACTAGCCGCTGACGAAATGTTCGCAATGTTCTTTGGATGTAGGTGCTGGCCGTTGTGGCCGTTCGTGATGTACGGCCCATTGATGAGGTGCTTGTGATGCAGCTGCTGCAGTTGTTGCTGTTGTTGCATATGCTTCTGCACATGCAACTTTGACTTGTGCTGCTGCTGCTGCTGCTGCTGCAGTGTTACGTATTCATCGTCGCCGCTGTTGCGTAGCGCCAGTGCCTGCTTGGTGGATTTGAGCTGCGCGTATGCCTTTTCGACTAGACGCGGCTGCGATGCCGCGCGCAAATACAGCCGATCTACCTGTTGCTCACCGCAAGTGGAGGCAGCTGCGGATATGACTGAGGCATTGCCGTTTTTCGCATCCACATCGGTGCCGACTGCTTCACCGCGTTTGCCGCGCGGCGTACGCGCACCATCGGAACGTGTGCCGCCACGCAGACGTATCTCCTTTTCTGAGTCAGTCATATTACCGCCTGGACGGGGAAATATGTCGCCGTTGGACTCCCAACACGGCGCTGGTTTGCTGGGGTTAGCGGCGCTGTTACGCGCGGTGGGTGGGAGTATGCCTAGCGGCAGGCAGCAGGAGTAACCTACATAGCCCTCCTCAGCGTGCGGTGTTTGCACATACAGCCAGTTTTGATTTTTGAATACCGCATTCACGACCATGCCCAGCGGCAGCGGCACTTCAATTTGATGTTGTCCCGGCCGCGTTTGGTAAAGCGTACTGGCAGTCGACAGCACGACGGGTATATTGCCGGGCGAGGCCAGTGAACACTTGGAGAGGAATTCATCTACATTGCTTATCTCGTAACCAAACTTTGGACCACGATTGCGTTCGCGTCGTTTCCGGTGACGGTGACGACGAGGATGTCCCTCCGAAGCAGCAATCAAACTCGGTTCGGAGTAAGTGCCCTTCAATGACTTTAGCTCATCCTTTTCTAGAACGACACCATTAGCCGCACCTGTCGCTGTTACCGAGGCGCAACCATTTCTGTCCAACTGACTTGCCTCAGCGCCGTCTGCGTGCGGCCTGCCATTTGCCTGCAATGTTGCCATCTTAGCTGCAAGCCTCTTACGTATCTCATTGCGTTTTTTGGCCAACGAAAGCGCTTCGCTGGTATCGTAACTCTTCGGCAATCGCTGTGGCGTGCAGACGAACAATAGCTCGCGAGAGGGCGCTCTTGACTTTTCTCTGTATTCCAGTAAGTTTTGGTTGCTGAAGAACTTTTGTGGCGCCAAAGCATTGGCTGGCATGTGTGCGGTGGGGGTGGTGGCGTACCCATTGAGTGGATCAGTGCTGCCGGGCAGCTGCTTGAGACGATAACGCTTCGTTGTCGTTGTAGTTGTGGTGGTGGCTGTGTTTGTGGTAGACGTAGTGGTCAACTGCGTTGGTACCACTTCTGTGCGCTGCTTGGATTCTAGCCTACCATTCATGCAACCGTTATTATTATTTGGTGTTTCTACCGCTGTGCCATTAACGAGTTTCTTTGTAGTTCCCGGCTCGTCGTCGTCATTCGTTGGCGTTTGTACATCGTTTGGTTGTTGCTGTTGTTGTTGCTCTCTTAATACCCAAGTCAGTGAGATACGCGGTCGGCGTAAACTCAAATTTTGACCCATCTCCCGCTGAATTGGATTCTGTGTTAATCTTTGGTACTCGACGTCTGTGCTTTGTACGCACTCGGCGTTCAACGGTGTGCCGCCAACATCATTGCTATAGACGTGTGAATGCAG